CCATTGGAGGTGAAGAAAATACCTGGTACTTCCAGGTATGGAGAATTAATGTAACTCACTCCATGAGAGAGTCCTGTAAGCTTCAATATGGGGCTGATATGGGGCAATCTTTCTCTGATCCAGACAGCTAACCTTGATGACTGGGGAGGGAAGAAAAGAAGATTGTGTGCAGTTGGGGAGGTGGACATTAAAGTGAACCTGTTGATTTGCCCTGCAATTATCTTAACCAGTAGTTATAGGCAGTGGTAGGTGGACTAACCTATGACTTCAGGAAGTGAAGTATATGTTTGCATGTCCCAGATACTTGAGGTTCTAGGGTGCTCTATAGTATTACAATAGTATAGGTACTGTATGTATTGACTTAAGAAAGCATTTATTTATTTTGTTATTTTAGAAATTAAGGTCTATGGAAAAGTTCAGGTTAATATGAATTAAGATGTTCTGTGTATGTTTTAAAGAATACACCAAAGGGTAAGCGCTTGTGAAATTATCTGATTATGAATGAACTCCTCATACATGCTTCATGCTTTACAACTCCTCTGTAAAAGGAAAATACAGAATTTTGACGCATGTTTAAGGAACCATAAATATTTTCCCACCAATAAACTCATAGTAAAGCAGAATTATCAATAATACAACTAAAGTAAAGTAAAGTATTATTTAAGCTACAACACAAGAAACAACACAACTGCAAAACTGGCACATTGGAAAAAGCACACAACACTTGAGGGGTCTATTTATAAACAATTCAATTTAGTGACCATAATGCGGTATTTTTGTGGTATTACATGCGACTTGAAAAGCAAACATTAATACTAAGAATAGTTTTGCAAATTATTCATGCATTATTTATAAATATCCACCTTAGGGTACTATTAATACATGTTTCTACATAAGATTGACAACTGTCACCCCAGATTTCAAATTTTTTTACAGGATTCAATTGCAAAAATGTGTGAAATCTTGGTGAACGTTGTGTGAAAAAATGTATAAATAGACCTCGGAGTAAGGCCATGCACTGCCCCAAGAAAAGCAAAAATTACAAATAAGTCAAACATTGCTACTGACATTCAGGCTTTGAAGAGGGTAAAGTGGGAAAACAAGGCCTTCCCAGTATTAGGAGCACTTCTATTACATAGAGCTCCACCAAAATACTGTACTGTTAGACGATATGCCTGTGCAGAGACATTTATGCATATTAAGGTTAAAGTTCTCAGTTGATGCTGGCTAAATGTTCCTTTTACATAACTGGCCAGATGTACAGTAACTACCTATTTCAGTAGTTCACGCTCACATTACAGAACCAGCACTTGCTCATATTATATTATCACTGCTGGTCTTTTTTTAATACAGTCATTTTCAGTAGATTGCAAGCTTTTATCTTGCAGCAATAACCTTCACTACATGCACTTTGCCTCCATCTAGTGCACAGTTTGAACATAGCAATAATGTATAAAGACATTTTGGTTATCATTGAGCAATAAAAATCTTTTCAGTATATTGTTTGATTCAGTCAGAAGAAATGAATATGAAATGAATAGGACATTGACATTGGCTTATTGTTTCAATAAAATTTTAGGATTTATAGACTTCATCGTGGAGCCAACATTTACAGTGTTGACAGACATGACAGAGAAGATTGTAATCCCACTCATTGATGAAGCCTCTCGGTCTGGGCTCACAGGATTTAGGCGATCTAGGTAAAGATTTATGCAAGTCTTATTTCAATAGAAAAGCAGTTGAAAGCTGCTTGATTAATTGACTTTTTCTAGCAGATCCAGTAGGTATGGTGGTATAATTTTTTTTATTATATATAGGGACCTGTCACCATTATATTGGACCTAGATTGTTGCAGCTATATACATTTCCTGTAAAAGAAGATCTTGGGGTGCAACTAAAAACAATCTGAGAGAATGATTTAAGCAAAGTAGACACTTTATAATAAAATATAAGGAAACTTCCATTAAATGAGAGAAAATTGTTACTCTTTAACTGTTTTTTTAAATAACAAAAAATAGAATTTAAAGACACATTGGAACTGGATTAGGATATTTTTATCTTAATTGCACCTATTTATTACCAAGAAAGCTTAAAGTGTATTTCCACTTTTGCAGTCAAATTTGAGAAACCCCCCTACATGTTTATTATGTGTCCTATTCATGCAGCATACCTACAAATAATAAAAAATATATACATTTCTTACCTTTTTAGCTGTTTCTTTGGCGCAAGATTATATATACGATACTAAAGGCAAGCTTCTTATGTCTTGAATAGATTGCAAGCGGACACACTTAGGGAGAGATTTTCTTTATGTGCATTAACATACAATGACTTGAGATCTTTAAAGAACTATGGGGTTAGGGCTTTTCCCCACAGTTCTCCATAGGGTAACGGGAGGACACAAACTAGCATCCTCCTGTCACCCTAAGCTCAGTATAGAGACGTCGCAGTATACCGCGAGCTACATCCGCCCAGCTGCGTGAGTGACAGCTAGTCAGCGCTGGAGGATCGGAGCGGGGAGGGGGGAATCCAGCCACTCCCTTGTCACGGCAGAGAGCTGTGACTGGATCGAGAAGTGAGCGAATGCCGGTATGTGTTCGCTCACCTCCTGATCTACTGAGCCAACCTGTGACAGTCTCATTGTCACAGGTCGGCTAGAACTATGAGGTGAGTGAAAAGCACTCACCTCATAGTTCTCCTTTAACTCCTTGTTAGGACAGACAGTCCTGCACAACGAGTTAACAGCAGATAATAGAAATCTTCTAGCACAATACAGACAGGGTCAATTATGGCAAAGACAACTGCCCAGCCCCTCCTAAACAGGGAGGACTAAGCAGGACTTTTCAGTCATGGAGAACAACTAAAAAGGTAAGCTGCAATTTTAAAATATTTTTTGAAACGTTATGATATGTAAATGGGAACATGTAATGGTAATAAAGTTGGTGTTATCCCAATATAGCTGCAAAAGTGGAAATACACTTTAAGTAAATAGCCTGCTTGATGTTTGTTTGTGTAGTCACTCTTATAACTAATTATTTGCATTGATTAATTTTTCAGTTTAAACAGCATAACTCCCTCAGATGTTAAACGATCGAGTGTGAAAAGCACTGGATCAGAAGGAAGTGCCTCTTTGAATTGTTCAATCCTCACTGTGGACTTCAAAAGTTTTAAAAATACGTGGTATGACGTTGTACTACAGAACAGAGAAAAGTGGAAGGCACAAGCAGCCAAAGGTGATGCATATGCAGAATTGTTAAGCTGAGTTATAATATTAGGTACTGACATAATACCATTATCTTCTCCTAAGATTGCTTAAAGGTAATGTAGGTCTTTATTATATTTTTTACTTTATGTTCAGGACTAAATGACATTTAAAACATGTTTTATTCAGATAAATGTTAAAGAAGAACTCTGGGGAAAAATGTTCCTAACCCTTGCAGTGGGACTACCACTACACTGCAAGGGTTAAGTGCTCATTTTTGTCTAGGCTCGGAAATAAAAAAGTTATACTCACCCGATCCTTCAAGCCAGCTTGCATTTAGAAAGCTCCCTTCTGCCTGTCTCCTCCTCTCCTGCAGTAATGTTAGGTCCCTTGGCATCCTCACATCCTATACACAGTGTATAGAATGTGCTGTAAATTATGAATATAAGTGGCGCCATAGACCCTAAAATACCTTCAAGCAAAATTATGTGTACAAAGTAAATACATAAGGTGCAAATTCATATGAGAATCAGTTACAGCATCCAAAATCTCTTGTATACAATCAGTTAAATCATTTATCAGTGTCCTGTGAAAATCATAAAAATATATGTGAACCTAGTCTTTTAAATAAACATCATCTGATATCTCAATATAAACTCTTGTAAACTTTGTTTTATAAGTCACTCTAAACAATCCTATGTTTCAACAACCTTCACCTCCAGTATAGCCTTCTCACCGATGCATATCATTGTGCAATTAATAATTATTCTTCAGTGCTCCTTCCACCCGTGCCCAAGCAATATATGCCGCTCAACTCCTTGCCTGGATCCTTTCTCATATGAGATTAGGTCACAAGCGCTTATGCAGATCAAACTTCTTTCCAACACACTCAGCTGCATATATACACTGCAGAAACAATCTTCCTTCTTACGTTCTTACTTTTGGAACGTATCCATTTTGTTAAAAAAATTCTCAGCTAGAAACAGAGCCGGCAAGGTGCAAAGCTCACATGTTCACATTAACGTTCCCGAAACTATTTGTCCTCATTTAGTCTAACCACATGCGCGTCCCCATGCTTTCATCTGACGTTATTACCCTAGAAGATGGCGCCCTGAGGAAGGGACCCTGCTTGGCACTGAAACGTTGGTGTGATTGACACATGTGGCGCACGTTCAATAAAAATGAACAAGAATTTCACATCCTGTGAGTGCTGGTGATTCCTTTCATCCGGTCGAAGAACAAGTCGGCTTGGAGGATTAAGGGAGTATCACTTTTTATTTTTAAACTTAGACTAAAATGAGCATGGGTTAAGGATAATTTTCCTTGGAGTTCTGCTTTAAATATTGCTTATGAATATTTCTATTCACAATTTTCAGGCCAGCAGGTAAAACGTTCAACTAGACTTACATGTTTACCAGGCTAATTTTAGCTGCTTCACGGAAAAAAAATGTTATTAAAGAGCAGAGTAACTGAAACTCAGATGGCATATACAGTGTAATGGTTAGAGATTTAAACCCCCTCTCACACCTTATTCTCTGCTCTCTACAGCTACATACAGAGTTTCAATTTGAAGATCACAGTTGAAAAAGAAAACAGCTCCTGTCATGCTTTCCCTTAATAAAACCCAGAATGCACCTTGTATTGAATGTATATTTGTGAAATAAATTGTACATACATTTTACATAAATAGTAAAAAGATAATATAAATCTACAGTATAAATTTAAAGACATTTAAATCAAAACAACCACAATTTTAGTTCAGAGTTTGTCATTATACAGTAAGCTCATATCTAGTTTTGGTTCTGGACTAAGTAAAGGTCATACTAGGTCATTAAACCCTTTTCAAAACACAAGCAGTAACTTGTTTTTGCGAGCATCACATTCTCTTAGGCTTCATTCACAGATAGCGCGGCACAAAAACGCACACATCTTTACGTACACATGGATTCTGTACATTTGCGGCTAATACTATAGCCGGAATATGCGAAATCCACCCAGAATATCTCGCTTGGACTTTTTTGTGCAATGCAACGGTTTTGTAACGTGCAGATGCCGCGCAGGTGTGAACCAGATACATTGAAATGTATTAGTTTAAAACCACTAGTGTGTGAACGGAGCGTTATGCAGTTAAGCAGAATTGGTTGTAAATCCTACTACCTGCTTATTTTAGCTTTAAAATAGCCAGCCTGATTTTATATCTCACTGACTTGGACCCATCACTGGAGATAATTAAAGTACTAAATCATTCTAAAGCATACCTTTGTCACCAGCACAGAAAGTAAATGGAAATGTAAAATATTTATTAGCTATCAAATACTTACGATGTACTAGCGTAAGTGCAGAGTCCAAAGAAGATAACATGGAGCAGGCTTTCCTACTTTCTGCATTACAGTCCTTATTAAGAAAGCACAATGTTAACCAATGAATCTGATTTACTAAATTAAAGGAACAAGAGCAAGGATAAATTGCTAGAATTCATTTGTACTGTGGGCTCACACAGTGAATGTGCTCCCTGAACCTATCTGATCTTGCATATATGTTGGATACATACAGTATGTTATGCTCCTGGTTTGCAGTGAGCATTGAACACCCAAATTAGGCTACTTTTGTCCCTTCTGTTCTGATGAAGTACATTAACTAATACATCAGATGGATCAATATTTAAAGGAAAAAACCTTCTGAACGAAAAAGACAGTGCATGTATGGGTATTTATCATCATAAAGCTGTTCAGAGACATCAGCATATGCAATTGTGTAGACATGCTGGTTATGGCCACAGTGAGCATATCTCCCCCATACACTTCAACCTAAATATCAGCTTGAACTTGCAATTTGTTTCTACAGGGGATATGCATGTAAAATTGTTAACTGTAGTCACATTAACCCAAAAACATGAGAAAATTCATATTTTTATTTTAGATAAGTTACAGCTTAGCACCAAACTATACTTGTTAGTAAATTCAGCATATGTACGCTGTTGTCTGTGCATGTTTTAGTAAATACTATGCAGATACAATTTGGGTGTCCATACATGATTGATGTGCCAGTGTTCGCACATATCCTTAATTAATCAGGCCCATAATGTTCTTCTTTTAGTAAGAAACTAAATTAAAAATGACCTATAATCTACATAAATAAATAATAAGCATCTTCTTTATAAATGTTTCACATTTTATACGTAAGGAAAATGTATCAGTTGAAAAAGCCAGATGCATATCCAGATGATTTAGTTGCTAAATAACAAGTTCCAAATTCAAGAAACACTTATGATTGTGCTTGAAATTACATGTAATCGTAGTTCTATTAGCATTTAATTCATACACTAGCACAATGTTCCCATTCATTGAACAGGTGGAATTCAGAAGCCTCATGGTACTAATACCTACTGTCTATTTATATGGCAATACTGTAATGATTAGTGGTTTGAAGTATATAACACAGAGTCCCGTGTTCAGAGTGGAAATAGTGTGGAGTATGTAACTAGCAGGGATGAAGTCAGATTCAAACCGAAGCCTGTCCAAATCTGAGCTCCTCCAAATACGTTATTCCCATGGGCCATCTGCCCAATCAACTGTGGGCTAGGGCATTCCCAGCCCAGCAACTGCACATAAACACAGGGGTAGGATGCTTGTGCTGACATAATTAGCCTTATATGAACACATAGCCCTATTAGGTCAATGTCATTGAGCAAATATAACCATGTGACCATATAAGATCAATAACATCACTGCATCCTGCCACTTTGCTTAAGTGCAGCTGAGGGTGGGGCAATTCCTGGCTGCAGATGATTGGGTGGCAACAGAAGGAGTTCCTTCAGTGTCCAGAAGAGATCAGGTTCAGACCAAGTTCAGTCCAAACCTGAGCTCATCCCTAGTAACTGGTAATGAGCTTTGGGTTCAGGCTAGCAATTTGAGAAAATGGTGAACAAATTCACACCCATTGTAATCAGTTATCAACAATGCACTTTTGGGCCTCTGAACTGTGAACTTAGAAGGGCCAATCATGGGGGGTTTTCTAAGTTTACAGCTCCCTCACTAGAGAATTCCTGGCTCCCAGCAGCCTTTGTTCAGTGTGTATTGGATGAGGCTGAGGCATGTAGTGGATAGAGGACATCACTAACTATTTGCAGGAAGAGGTAGTTACTGTTGCTAAAAACTTATATAATTATGCTAACTCACATACACACTCACTGTGCGTTGTACAAACCCTGAGCAAAGATCAAAGAGTGTTTTCAGGCAGAGATAGTTGCTGCTATTCTGGCAGTACTGTTACTTAAACCTGCTATATTTACACTCAGTCATATACACAGATAGTTTTGTTGTAGACTTGGAGTAGATGAAGAGAAGTAACACAGTGTTTACAGGAAGAGAAAATTGTACTTGGGCATCTTACTATTTCCATTGTAATGGAAAACCCATTACCTGATAAGCTAGGAGCCTACTACAGTGATTGGAAGGCTTCCACCACAATGGGCTGTGCCTTTGAGACAGAGATTTTCAGATTTTCAGAAGGGCTTACTGGCTACACTCATGACATGCAGCCGATTTTTATACATAGAGAACACAGCGCTGGTATTAGTTTAGCCTACCAGCTCAGGTTTCATGTGAAACCAGTCTTTCTGGCCATGCTTTTTTTTTGCACCACAAAGTATTGAGAGAGCTCGCCCCAGCCTTTTTGTGATTGACTGCTTTGTCCTTGAGTTCACACCCCTAGCATTTGATAGCACAGTTTGCGGAAGAGAGTGAGAGGCTGTTAAGAACATACTTCCCAGTTTACTTGAATGTAGGGCTTCGATTGGCTTGGCTGATTTATAGAGATAGGATGGCTTCAGTTTGACTAACTGTGCAAACCTTTATCTGACACACAGGAACTGGAGTTTGATTGGCTTTGAGGAAGGGGGCATAGCCCCAGAAATGTGTTGTCCTAGGGCTTAAGTGCAATACATGACTGCCATTCCTGTCAGCTAAAGATTTATACACACTCTTTCAGCCTGTTACCATGTGAATTACAGCTAAATCTGCTGACTACTGA